CTTCAGGACGGGCTCCTCCTGAACCTGGAGGCGGCGTCCTTGAACCCGGAAATCGCGCGAAGACGGTACAGCGGCCTGGTAGAAGAGCGCGGTGGCGGTACACGACGCGTGCACGACGGTTTCCACCTGTGACGGTAACGATGGTTTTTCGTTCAGGGGCGGGGTTTCCAAAAACCGATACGTAAACGGGCAGACGACTCAAAGGGTACTTACGGAAGTTGGAGGGTCGAACTACACTCCTCAAAACTTTATTTTCAAAACCAAGACATTAGCCACAGCATGTTGAGAGCCTTCAAGGTTTCAAGGCAGAATCCTCTCCCGCCGCGGGGTTGCGACGATCGCGGCTTTACCCCCGGCTCTCACGGTACGCGTCACGGTTTCCAGCCCACGAAAATTTGCTTCGTTACAATAATTAACAGTTTCCCCAACACGCGTAGCTAATTCTTGCAGCTTTCTCATCTGCAACATGCGAATTTTCGACCGGCGCTAACACGTGTTGTAAATTTGTTTTATTGTTTGTAAATTCACAGTTCATGTTAGGATTTTAATCGTTAACTGGCTCTAACACAATTTAACAGACATTAGATTTGTTCAGACAGAGCACCTGTAGAAGTTTTCATGAAATTCACTTAGTCAGGACTCGTTTGATTTTGTTTGTCTAATTATGAATGAAGTTTCTGGATGCATATACTTAAGTGTTACATTATAATACTTCTCAATTCCTCACACAAGATTGCTAATAGTTCATTAACGGCAGTTAAATTAACCTAACGTTGCCCCACTCTGGAAAAAGACCACGAAAGTACGGTAGAATTCATAATATCGTGGGCTGAGGTACAGGGGATTATAAATATTTCCTTTTAGGCAGTTATCACGTTATTATCATCATATCATCATCACATCACCGAGATATTTTTCTCGCAACGTGGAAAGCTATATCATCGAGACGTAATAAGCATTCACGTTCGGTAGAAGTAACTGACAGAAACTTTTCTGTGGTTAAGTTGCAATCTTAAGATCACTAGAAATTTAAGATTGGCATCAACTGTCTAATTTTCTAATTCAAATGTCAAATCTGAATTGTGTGGAAAAAAAACGAAGTTTTTCTAATTTCAACACGCTTCGTTTCAAGAAAATCCTTAAATACAGCATGGAAACAATTTCCATAAAAGTAATCACGAGAAACCTCATTTTAAAGGAAAAGAAACAAGAAATATTTCGTGGTTTTCAAAAAATTGGGTAAAACGGAAACAGTTAAACTGGTGGCAGAAATATTCTCCGTAAAGTTCGCTCTTAGTGTTGTCGAGTGTTTTTCGAATTTTAAAATAATGCAGATACAGCGGCGCTTGTGCCGTTAATATTGATATAATCAGAATCAGAAAGACGACTGTGCAGATTTATATACCTACATGCTTTGTTGGTTCCGTTCTACAATTGGTTTTTAAGTTTTATATAATCGTTATTGTTTTGTAAGAGGTAAAACACTCGGCTTTGAAAATAATTGTACGTAATACACGTATAAATTTAGGTTTCCGAAGGCGAAGTTTTTCACATTTTAAACACGTTATAGCTGCCAGAATCAAATTTCTAAGGCGGTACCTATCTCCAATTGCGTGATTGTGGTGAAGATTTACTCTTCATTTTCTTGGATGAGACATGGATATATCAGAACGGATCCATGGTGAAATTGTGGATCCATGATGATGACATCAAAGCCTGTCCTAAAAAAACTAGTGAAGGGAAAAGATTCAAAATTTTTCATGCGGGTTGCTCTTTGGGCTTTTAGAGGGATGCGATTTTCTCCTTGGTTCAAAAATAGATTCACCATATTACCACAAAACCATCACATTTTCGATATTTGACCTTTACTTACTTACATGTCACATTTTTGATACCTACTTTCTGACATTCCAGTAATACATTATACACTAGAACAATTATGTCCGCAGTTACACAGCTTAAAAAAAAAAGTTACCAAATCTAGTTACATCTACCGAACGTGAATTCCTTATATTATTCTCGCAACGCTGAAAATTACATCACAGAGACGCATATTTCCTCGCAACGCAGGACGCATTTTGTGTTTATCATGTGTTTTGTTTGGGATAAACAGTTCACGATATAAACTCTCAAAGCTAATTGTTTTAAGTAACCAATCCTTTGGATTAAGGCATCATTTAACATAATGTAAATTCTTTGTTTGAATAGTTGATAAACTGTTGCATAATTTTTTACAGGCTATAGCCAGTTAAGTGACATTTTCATGTCGAATACAGTGACTTGGTAAATTGATGTTTACAAGTGACGAACAAGTAATAGTTATTTACGTGGCAAGCTTAGTAAATTAGCCTTTACGGGCGAGCCGGAATATTTGCAGGGCGAGCGACGTAGGAGCGAGCCCTGTAATCCGGTGAGCCCCAGTAAAGGCTAGTTGCAAGCGAGCCGCGTACAACGTTTTACTTCCTCTTGCTGAAAATCCTGAAAATGAACAACTTTGGCATCTCTAGAAATTTTACTTGAAATTACAGTCATAGACATTATAATAAGCATTCACGTTCGGTAGAAGTAACTGACAGAAACTTTTCTGTGGTTAAGTTGCAATCTTAAGATCACTAGAAATTTAAGATTGGCATCAACTGTCTAATTTTCTAATTCAAATGTCAAATCTGAATAGTGTGGAAGAAAAACGAAGTTTTTCTAATTTCAACACGCTTCGTTTCAAGAAAATCCTTAAATACAGCATGGAAACAATTTCCATAAAAGTAATCACGAGAAAGCTCATTTTAAAGGAAAAGAAACAAGAAATATTTCGTGGTTTTCGAAAAATTGGGTAAAGCGGAAACAGTTAAACTGGTGGCAGAAATATTCTCCGTAAAGTTCGCTAGTGTTGTCGAGTGTTTTTCGAATTTTAAAATAATACAGATACAGCGGCGCTTGTGCCGTTAATATTATAATCAGAATCAGAAAGACGACTGCGCAGATTTATATACCTACATGCTTTGTTGGTTCCGTTCTACAATTGGTTTTTAAGTTTTATATAATCGTTATTGTTTTGTAAGAGGTAAAACACTCGGCTTTGAAAATAATTGTACGTAATACACGTATAAATTTAGGTTTCCGAAGGCGAAGTTTTTCACATTTTAAACACGTTATAGCTGCCAGAATCAAACTTCTAAGGCGGTACCTATCTCCAATTGCGTGATTCTGGTGAAGATTTACTTTTCATTTTCTTGGATGAGACATGGATATACCAGAACGGATCCATGGTGAAATTGTGGATCCATGATGATGACATCAAAGCTTGTCCTCCTAAAAAAACTAGTGAAGGGAAAAGATTCAAAATTTTACATGGGGGTTGCTCTTTGGGCTTTTAGAGGGATGCGATTTTCTTCTTGGTTCAAAAATAGATTCACCAGATTACCACAAAACCATCACATTTTCGATATTTGACCTTTACTTACTTACATGTCACATTTTTGATACCTACTTTCTGACATTCCAATAATACATTATACACTAGAACAATTATGTCCGCAGTTACACAGCTTAAAAAAAAAAGTTACCAAATCTAGTTACATCTACCGAACGTGAATTCCTTATAGTCATTTTCCATAGTTTGCTCCGGTAACTATGGAAAATTGAATTGTTTGAAAATAACGCGACTGTCAATTTGTAAATTCGATTAATAATTTAAATAGTTTAATTTTGTTTCTGAACTCTGTTAATTGTGGAATTCGATGAAGTTGAAGAGTTTGAAGGTGATTTTAACGTTAGTATTAGCACAGTATTAGTGAGATTAAGAAAAAGGCCGACGCAGCGAATGTGTGTTTGATTCCGGTGCTGTCATGATAACGTTTTACAGGCACGGTGCCTGTAAAGCTGTCACGGTAACGCTTTACAGGCAGGGTGCGTGTAAAGGGTAATTTACCGAGTTAGTTCAGACGACAGTAAATCAGCTTTAACAAGACAAGAGGAAGTAAAAAATGTTACTGGCTGTCAGTAAAATTTTTACAGCCCTGCTGGTGCTCATACCGCCATGTATTTTAAACATTTTAAACTATTATAAGTTGCAATGACAGCCAAAATTAATTCAGGTAAATTTTCACTTACTGCTTCCTCAGTAATATAGCTTGCGTCACACTCATTTCAATACATCGAAAACGATAAATCGAAAAATCTAAATGACAGAACTAGACAACACAGTAAATGCTATGACAAGTGCCATGCTGACGTGCGTTTTCAGGGCAATACCTACGTCTAAAGCTCATATACGATGTTTCTTCAAATATTGGACCTTCTAGAGTTTTTAATAATTTATAATAGTTATTTACATGTGAGAAACAAATAAAATATTGAACAATACACGCAAGGTAACGGGTTTTTACTGGCTCCTTCTGTCCGCCAGTAAAAACCCTTTTACCATGCTTGTAATGTTAAATACTATTTCGAACCGAGCACATGTTTGAACTGTAAAACCTGATTGAACAAATTAACGACATTGTGGGTCATGTGGGACGTGCATTTTATTCCTTTGAGTTAGACCAGTATTTAGCGGTACTTTTCCAACCTTGGGGTCCACCACTTACATCTGAACGCATTCCTCCACAAGAAAACACACACACAACGTAGGTTCCATTTTGTTAGACGATCACAGCCAAGGCCAAATTTTGAATTTTTCAATTTTCGCAGTTTTTCAAACTTTTTCACATGTCAGTTTAAGGCGGGATGTTTGGGTTATCACAACTATTTATAAATTTTGCGGTTGTGTCGCGCTAACATTAAATTTAAATTCGTTCTCTTATTTCCCATTATTAAATTTGTTAAAAAGGAGTTCCACGAAGTATATAGCATTTATTTATTTTTAATGATACAGATTATTTAGTAGGTAGTGGCTCCATATCCACAACAGCTTCGCAGGCACTTTTCCAGGAAATTTGGAGTTAGAATCACTATTTTTCATGGCTATTAACCCAAGGAGATTAAATGTCAAAGATAATGAGTTCTTGGTATAAAAATTTATTGTCAATTAGTAGTAACAAATCTACAATAAAATTTTCACTGTCAAAATCCAAATAATATACTTATAAAGTATAACAAAGTTGAGCAAATTTATAATTTATCAGACTAGACAATATATGATTTATAAATAAATAATAATGGAAGTAAATGATTGAAATAGTTGCTACACTTTCAACTACAACCAGCCAGTATTTGCAGCTTCATCAAATTACACAACAAACCGCGAAAATGGGGCGCATTAAGTGAAAGAAACTGAAACTGCTATGATTCGAACAGACACTAATACTGCACTAATACCTACAAAACTGCTTCACGATCTACCCAAATTTGATAAAACTGCACCAACAATATTGCAAACTCATACAATAAACATTTAGAACATATAAATAAAAAACACATTCAATTAATGTCTGAAGGGCACAGCTGCCTTTCACCCTCATTCAAAAAAATCATCATGGCTTTATACAGCAAATAAACCCCCAACATTGTCTTCTTCTCCTGCGGCCACGTCGCCGCAAGCCCGTAGAAATTCCCACCCTTGGCGTTACACAAATTCTCCACCTTAAAGGCATCTATGATTGCCGCCTCCCGCGTGTACGACTCCACCGGAATGGTGTTCTGGAACAAGTGTAAGCACACGACTCCGGAGTTATCGCTCCATATATCCAAAATCTTCGCCTGTTTCTTGCAGTCAGAAGTACGTATGCCTTGGTTCCAGAGGTTCACGGCGTCGTATATGTGGTCGTAGGGCCTCGATCGCTTTCCTTTGCCAACGTAAAACACAGCGGAAAGGAAAGTCTCCCAAATTTCTTTGGGTTTAAGAGATTCGGCTCTCACTGGCAAGTTATTGGTCAGTCTAGGGTCCAGGAGTAGGTAAGTGAAGGAGGATTTGTTGTTGCCTTCGCGCCACTTCCTGGAGGGGTCGGGAGTGGCGAACTCACGCAGAACCGCCTCATCGAGGGTTTTGTAGACGGAAATGTCTTTGAGCCAGTCGGGGTTTTTGAGTGTCCACTCCAACTCTTTGGAGTATGCTGTAAGAAGAGGGGATTGTAAAGTATTGGGTTTGCTGGGGTGAGTTAAAACAAGTTTGTTGTAAACGTGAGAAAATTGACGGGTAAATAAAAACATGGTAAAATAAAATCGACACTGACGTTTCGGTGTATGTCGGAAAAATTAAGTAATCAAGTTGGCGGTCGCGGTGTTGAAAGCTTAGGACGTCACGATGACGTAGAATGTTTTGCGTGTGTACTTATACCGGTGTCTCCGCAGCTGATATCTTGGTTAATAGTCAACAACAGCTGAGTTTAACGATATGTTGAATACAAACAAATTGGTCAAGATTTAATTGTCAAAGCAAAAATATTATCAAAAATTATAAATTCGAGATATGCAGGGTGAGTCAATAAGCGTGCACTTCTTGATATCTCATTAATTATTAGATACAGAAAAAAGTTAAAACTACTCTAGTTGTAAGAGGTTGTTTAGAAATACCGTAAACTATTAACATTTGTGATTATTTGAGTGCCTATATCGCAGAAGAAACGCCATTTGAACGGAAAAATTCTATTATTACTTCCCGAGCGTAAGCGACAGGTATTTCACCCGATACTGATAAAACGTCAATGTCAATATTAGTTGTACACGAACAATAATTTTTATCTCGACTCTGATAATGAAATACAGTTACAAAAAATCATGTCCGCAATTACACACCAATTTTTTAAGTTAATGACTCACCTCTAGTGACGGCCACATCGCCTTCGGTATTCTTCACCGGGAGAGGCAATTTCTTCAGTTGTTTCAGCTTCTGCAAGTATACCCTCCGCGTAGTACTCGTAATCGGCCCCGGATTATACCCCCGAAGCGCCAGTTCTTTTCTCAGAGTCTCGTTATCCAGATCTTCATATTCGATAGTCTCAGGTAAAGGTAGTTTAGATGAAACAAACGACTTGACGCTGCCGCTACCGTCACTGCAATCAGAATCATCCAGAACATTACTTTCCATGTTAACATTGTGACTCACTACTATCATATTGAACAAACGTGAGTACGAACAAAACCGATAACAATTTATAAATCACCATTGCAATCTACTCTTTTAGAAATGAATAATTGCACGTTTATACAAGTTTGCGATTATTGCTGGGCTATGAGCAAACTGACTGGTGTTGCTATGTGGCAAAATCAATTTAAAATTGGGCCTCAGTGACAAAATCTTACCTTATTGGGGTCTTTAGGAACCTCCTCTCGTACAGAACGATTCCCTCTTCTTTGTCTACGTATTTGTAGATCTCGGTGACACTAATGAAGCTTAAATCCGAGCTGCTGATCCCTTCGGACTTCGTGATCGTGCTCAATTGGCTCTTATTGCTATCGTCGCTAGTCATCAGATTAGTGAAATCGAAGATATTGCGTTCTAATATATCTGGGGAAATACCTGATGTGCACGTCACGTAATCGCTACTTGTGTCTCTCCCACCTTTGCTCAGATCTAAACTGAGTTTCTTTAAAGGTGTTTCTTCTTTGATGTTCAAGGAGTCTGGTAGCATAGCGATTCCGCTTTCATTCGAAAATTGTATAATCTCGTCCATTTTGCTCTTAATCTTTTGGTTCGAAGTCTTAATCGGCGAGCTCTTGGGAGTCTTCACTTTCTTCCGGTACACCTTCCGGAAGCAGATATTCTTGACGTCCACGGGATTGTACCTTTCCTCGTCTGATTCCTTAAGGGAATCACCTGAATCGTCGCTAATCCCGGAAGTGCTTCCATTGCTATGCAGCTTATTGCTCATTTTGGGGGCGCTCTGATCCAGACTGTTGAACCAGCTCATAACATACTCCTTGCTGTCCGTCTCCGGTAAATCTTGTAATTGTTGCGTGTCTTTGAAAATACTGTCAGTCTTGTATTCATTAACTATCTCGTATTCGCCAAGCGTAGTACCATTGTTTACGAGAATTTTATCTGCAAATAAAAAGAAAAAAATTAATTATGAATGTCACTGATAACATTGTTGTTAAAGAGAGAATGATAGAGAAAACAATAACTTCGATTTATGGAGTAAAAATCGTCTCAAATATAGACTCCGATTTACGTAATCAGTGTTTGCCTCTTGGCACTTTGTTTGGCGTATTGTTTACCACAATTATTTTTATTTTTAGGAGCGATTTGAGGAAAACGATGCGTACTGTAATTAATTAGTTCGAATAAACAAAAATTAATTTCGATACTTATGTCCAATTAAATGTACTTAATAGTTGAGATAACGACGTCAAAGTTAGTTACGTAAGCAGTATTGGTTTAAAGAGAATATTCGCATCGGTATCTAATACTGTGGTTATCGTTCACAATTTTGTTTACTCAATAATGTAATAATTATGTCAAAGTTTAACTACGGTTCGACATGTGTATAACACCTAAAAGTAAGCATGTGATTAATAATGAGACCTTTGAGGTTGTTATATCAATTAATAAATCTGAACTTCAGGAAACTCAAAAAAGTCAAGCAAGATAAGCAAAAATATTAGTGCAATTTTATTTCTTTCGACTTTCAATTATCGGAGGAAACGCAGACATACCTGAATTATAAAGGAAAGCATGTTGTTCCTGAGACGCAGGAAAAACTTTGTTGGTTTGAAGGCTACTATTGTTTTATTCGAATCAACGGTGTACAAAATCTATAAGCAATGCATTTTATACCACGTACGTGGTTGTCAGTTTTTTTTTCCTGAATTTTTTCATTTTACATTTTTCTGTTATTTAGAACGTCCCGTTTGAGAATCTATTCACAATTTTGCCTTGGTTGTTTACCAGTAATATAATGAAACACTTCTGATTCTAAGAACGTAACTAATATCACTGTCTTAATTTGAAAAAATCCTTTACCAGAAGGCAAGACTTGCTACTGATTTGAATTAAAGAATAATTGGATAGAAGACAAAAATTTTAATGGGAAAATCTAGTAGGCATTAAAAATGGTAAATTTTAATAGGCAATTTCTCTAATTGTCTTTCATTAATTAGTTTAAAAAATTGTTTTAATAATAGTACATATTTTATATAGTGTGTGTATTTGTGAACGACATATAATAAATGATTCTGGTTAGAATTTGAATTACTGGTTGTCTACCTCGCACACACCGTTTATTAGAATTAATTAATACCGACAGACTGATAAAAAACACGATCAAATCTGTATTTGATGTATTTTTGAAGATTTGTCGTCTTGTCAGTTTATCATCAATTGAATAGACTAAGTCACCCTTTTCTAACATTCTAAAATTATGTATACTTTTCTTTTCACTGGTTAGGTCAAAGCTCTAACATAATACTGTAATTTGGCCACCTAGTACATATATACCAAGTTCATATTTATCATATTGAATCTGTTCAAACGTCGTTTTAATTTTTGTTGTATCTGTTAGATGGTGTCTACCATGTACAAAGATTTGATTATACTTTACTCTTGTTTAGATTTGGTTTTGTGTCTCTTCAAATGCGAGTGATCATTACTGAAATGAAGCTTTTTTTACTAAGTAAATTGAACATTATTATTTATACATGTGGAAATGTTTCCAATTTCATATAATTTGCATTATAACAATTATCTCTAACTGGGCGTCCAAACTGGTATAAGTAAAATTTATATGTTAGGACCCACCACTAACCCGGAAATGACAGGCATTCAGGCAAGACTTGTATCATTACAGGTACCAAGACCAAATAATGACATGCATTGATCATATTTGTAACAGAATTAAAATTTTGAGAAAACCTTGCATTGCCTTCATTTCAATAACTGTAGATACTAACACATTCCTGTTTTCAAAAACTTGCTCTGTTGGATTTAACAAGTTGGTCAACCGATTTTTTGTACTTGCATACATTTTTATATCAACGATTTATAGCACGTGACTTAGTTTATTTATATCTATATAAACAGAACCGCAGTGGACTAAAGGAATCTCCTTGAAACATCTGACGCTTACTGGATCTGATTTAATGATCAGTTAAGGTTGTTTGAAGGGTTGTTTTCCAAATCTCCTTTGAACATTTGCGAAGAGCAACTTTTTCAATCAATGTTGAATATTTCAAGAATTTTGCACAACTAAAAATATGGAACTGAACAACACGCTTTTTATTATTATTACTGTTGCGAAAAAAACTACTATTCAGACAACTGATTTAATGTTGTTCTAGCCCAATCAAAAGTGGGTTAAATGTTATATAAGTCAAATTCAAATGTACAATTAATGACAAAAGACACAGATACTGCTATCAGTAACAGCAAGATCAACCCATCTTCATAACAAGAAAATTACACTTTAATCAATTTCAATTCTTATCTCCATCTACACCTCCCAGAAAAACAACCCAAGTGCTCTTCAGACCAAACAGCGTCAATATTTTTCGCCTTGTCGCGAATTTTATCCGAAAAAAAATTTACGACTTCATTTTATAGCGGAGTGAAATAACAAAAAACAGATAAACGCCACCTCGGACGCAAAATAGACTCCAAAAGCGGGTTTATGCCGTTCTTATCGCGTTATTTTTAGTTGAATTAAAATCAATGAATTACGGATTTGGTGGCACGTTGCGTTAACATGGCGACAAGTCTGACTGACCTCTCTATCACACTAATCGCAAGAAAATAGCTTACCTAATTTAATGGCGTAATTGATGCAGTCTTCTTTCTCCCTACACATAATGCTAGCTTTGTCCGTCACGTAAAGCTTGAGGAGGTTGTAGCAGTCCATGTATTTCTCCTCCACGGCGTAATGAAGGGCCGTCTTTTTGTTGATATCTCGGATTTCCGGACTGCCTCCGCAGTCCAGGAGAAGCTTGAGCAGGTCATAGCGGCCCCAGGCGGCGGCGATGTGTATAGGGGTTAAACCGTCATCGGACCTGCAGAGGTTGAAAGTGACATTAACATACGTTCAATTTTTTCACGATAACGTGGCAGCGTCATGCAGCGGACTATCTCTTGTGTTTAGGTTCCCAATTAGCTATTATCGTTACATGTGTATATAAATGCAGTGACCCTATAAATGAGATGTTTAGTTTTTGTCAAGGGAACGCAGGAATGGCGCTAGTGACGGCAGTTCGCAGAAACGCGACGACAGCTGATATTTGGCAACGATAAGAACGTTTTAATTGACCCATATCTCAACTAGTAGAACCTTGAGATGACTCGGTTGTTTTTCGCAAAAATAAGATAGAGAAGCTACTTACTGGACGTTGGGATTTCCTCCGTGCTGTAAGATCAGGGTAGTCACATTCAAGGCGAATTTTTCTGAATCGTTGCCTATGATCAAGTGGAAAGAGGAGATTTTTCGCTTGGGAAGAATCAAATTTGGATCTGCGCCCTTGGATAGCAGGGTTTTGACGGAGCTGTAAAAAATAATTATAACATTGAGAAATGGTATTGAAATTGTCTAGAAGCAATTAATTTTAGCAATTAATATTGTCACAGATTCTGTCAAAGATTAAATTAACGTTAAACGATTTTCGTTTGATTTATGCATGCGGTCAACACTCGTCCAAAAGCTATTTATATATTGCTAGGAAATGAGTTTTACTTTAAGTTTTTTAAAAAATAAAAATGTAATTATTTGATACTTCAGCTTAAATTATATTGGGGGCAACCGTTGTTAGCTTATAGTTTAAAATGAACTTTGAATAACAATTTAATAATTAATTAAATACACATAATAATAATAATAATAGTAATAATGCAATAAATATACAAGGTACTAAATAGAGAAAAATGAGTACAAAAAAAATTCGGTCATATTTATTATGGCTTCTCAGTGATATCTCTTTAAATTTTAAAAAAATTACTAAAAAAATATGTATTGACAAACACATGCATATATTATGATACAAGTAGGACCAGATATACACTTTGAAACATAAAACACCACACTAATAACACCAAACTGTAAAAACCCCTTTTGCGATAACGTGGAGTCAATGTGATTTTTAAAGCCCATAAAATGATGAATGACCCCTTGACACTCTTTCAGACTATAATAGGGCCAATGCGTCAATTATCAATAAGAGTATTCTCCGATAACATATCAAATTTGTCGGCCATTTCCTTTTCTCGGTAATTAATAATTAACTTTCATTAATCACTTCATACTTCTAGAACTCGTGGTTTGTTTACTATTTCATTAAATCGCTCGTAAACAATAATCGTCGCAACAAATTATTTAAACTGCGCGTCCAAATTGGTCTAGAATTTTAAAACGGACGAGCTACTTCTTAGCTTAGGATTCTGCAACCGCAACCAAAAAATAAAATAAGTAAAAAAACGAAAATCACCCGGAAAAAGATTGCGAATTCGTCCCGCCAGCAACATGTGGTAATACGCAAGAACTATCGTAATTGGCGTCTGAGCACCGATAAGAAGCTGCCTACGTGATAAGAGACCGACCAAAACATGGATTCACATCCAAAGTTTAATAAATTTATTGTCTTCTTATCCTCGTGACGTAACTCGGGCCGTATTTTTCAAATCGAGTTTCAAAGATAGCCATAATATTTTAAATAAAATATAATTAACCGATGCACTTTGTGTCCCACTAATTAAATCGTACATTAAAAACGACCTTATCGGTTCTTGCGAATTACAATTGATGCCGACAACAAGATGATGAAAACTGATTCTTAGTTACAGCGGAGCTTCAAATTTAGACAGATCAGGTTCATGGCCGGCAAATAAATAAAAATAATTCTAAATTTAGAAGCATGAAAAACAAAGCAATTTGAGACATGCGAAAGATGACAAAGATCACGCGCCGATTTTTGACCAGTAAACAATAGTACAAAATTGTGAAAAACACAAAAACATATTTTTCGAGTTGAGTGAAAAGGAGAAGGATGACGATGAGGATTTTTTGCGGGTTTTACTGTACATGTATTGTTACTAAAGGAGAGCACAGCGATAAAATAAAGGTTGTGGGAGATAATTATTATAATTTTAAACATTTTAAGTTATTTATAGAACTCATATCAATGTAATGGGCCGTGCAGTTTATAGTACTCTGAATGACTGACAAAGGGGATTACATCTAATGTTACAAGGCAAAGACACCACACCTCCTACATTTTTAAAGTATACTAAGATTACTTTAAAAGCATACAGATAATATGTTACAACTTTAGTCAAAGAACCCAACCCGTAAAACTCTAAAACCATAAATTATGCAGGTACGACCGCCAAAGACCGTCTGCTTGGGGCAGCACAGGAAATTCTGTAGGCACGCGACAGGGTTTATAAGTTTACAAGGACCCTACGGCGAAAAGCCGACTCGGCATTGTCAACCAAATAATCCTAATTATGTCATAAAATTTTATTAGTATGCTTTTCAAGTATACTATCCTCAAACATATTTGGCGTTTATGACTTCACACCAATTTGACTCCCATTATAATTCAATAGGCCGTCACAACCGGATGTCTTAAACCCGCTCACCGATACCTACCTGAAAAGACCTTTTCGACGTGCCAGGGACGGTCGAGACGCGAAGGACCGGACTCAGAGTAATTTTGTTTGTTAAAATTTTCAAATTTCAAAATTTCCTTACAGAACATGATTTATACTTTGAAGAAAATCACACAAAGACACAATTATTAGAAGTGTTACACACTCGAAAATTTGAGAAACAATATAAAATAGATGCTATGGCGCGAGATCGTGGATTTAGGGTGATTAGACTTCCGCCGTACCATTGTATATTTAACCCCATCGAACTAATCTGGTCGCAAATGAAAAATAATATAAGAAGGAATAATACGGCACCAAAATTTAGTAGTGCAACAATTGACATAATTAGGGAAGAAGCTTCCAAAATAACTGCCGAAATGTGGGCCAATTGTGTACGACATTCCACAAAAGAAGAAGACCAGTACAGGGCACGGTTGATAACACCGTTAATTATTAATTTAGAAGAGTCGAGTGATGATGACAGTGACTATTTCGATCAATAAATAAGCAGTAGTAGTTAATAAGTAAATAGTTGTGCTATAATAAAAAATGATTGAGTACAAAGTTACTTTGTTTTTACTTAAAATAAAAAACTCGAAAGGCGCAGTTTTCGGTAAATGCAAAACTCAGTCCTGCCCTGTGCTTTTACCAGAAAAGGTCTTTTCAGGTAGGTATCAGTGAGCGGGTTTAAGACATCCGGTTGTGACGGCCTATTGAATTATAATGGGAGTCAAATTGGTGTGAAGTCATAAACGCCAAATACGTTTGAGGATAGTATAATGCATCTTTTTTGTATGGAATAAATATGTGTCCATTGTTGAATATAACTTGACACGATTTAAAAGATGTGTTGAAATGAAATTTTTGAGCCTTCCAGAAACTACATTTAGATGAAGTTTTGATAATTGATAGTCAAAATTCTAGACCCTTGCGTAACTGGCGCCTTTTATCGTGGAGATAATGCCATGTTTACATTTATTTCTGTAAAGAAGCCAATATTACTAGGACATCGAAAGTCCATAAGCTTAGTTAATACACTATGGATGGCTAACTGCCATTGTTTGTAACTCAAAAACTGTTCGCTTTAAGTTATATTCCTCAGTTTGTAATAGTACTCACATGTGTTTGTCTTTTTCAATTACATTCAAGATCAACTTTTTGAGTTTTATTTTGTTAAGTTTTAAGTTTCCCTCAGGATTATACTTTTTTTAAAGTTAAGTATATGTTTTTATTGCGAGAAATTCAAAATGTGTTTTTCTGAATTTTATCATTTTTATAAATATGGTAGTTTTGTAACACTTAAAAAAGTTCAAAATTTCTGGACATTTAAAATTTCATTTTTGACATTTGCTCCTCTGCAATCCATACTGAAAAAAATATTGCTATTGATATTTCTAAAAATTCTTTTGAATTGTTTTAGTTAATTGGCCTTGTTTGTTTAACTAACAATTTATTACATTATCCCATTTTTGGGCAAAAAATGTCAAAAAAAAATCACAAATTCATAATAAAAACGTACTTACTTTTTTATTATAATTACGAGGCAGTTGTTTACACAAGGAGATTAATAGTATATTACATATCGAGGGTGGTAAGAAGCTAATTACGAACGAAGTTTACACACGAGCGAGCGTAGCGAGCGAGTGATGTAATATGAGTTCGTAATTAGCTTACCACCAGAGTTGTGTCATATACTTTTTCTACGATCTATAATGAAGAATCACTTTCAGAAGAATTTTTTTTGGGAAAGCAAATATTTATAGTTGCTATGGAAACTACCCAAACAGGCACGTAATACATATATATTACGTGCCTGTTCATTCATTACATGCCAGTGGGTGTAACTATGGTTTTACTACGAGGCTAGACAGTTCGTAATTCATGGATTACTATGTGGGAGTAGAAAAAAGCATTTTAACAAAACTCGTAACGTATGCATTAGAATTTTTTAAAAGCCTATTTAGGTATAATTTTTTGTAAAACCTGTGTTCACTTTAGCACCATAACATATTTAGAATTTCATAAAAGTTGTAACCTATTTCACATAGTCATTTTGTGAAACATCCTACATAAGAACTTTAAAAAAATTAAAACACTGCCAGAAATACAAACTACTCTATCTGGCAGCTTATATTTAATACATTTTTTTATCATGTCATCAACTTTTGGAAAGGATGAATAAATAAATAAACAAATAGTGTTCCGCAATCTTTGAATCAATGTCAGTGTTAAGACACTGATATTGATTTGATAAGTCAAAATTTCGAAAAAATACATTATATAATCTTCTAAAATCATACTAAATTTCTGTATTTTTTACTGTGAACATCGATAAAAAATGAATATTTGGCAAAATCACTCTACTAACAGACTTAGCTTACACTAGAAAAGTAACAAATAAAATAACCAAAAATATAGAACTTTTGTTGATAAATAATTTCAGTTTTTTTCCGTCATAAATTATTGTACGACTAAGTTGTAGCTCGATAAATAAAAAAATTCGAAATTTCTAAAAAAAGAACTGCAGAATGATACGAAATTTTGGTAAACACTTGCTATATCCACACGATATCTATAAAATTTTAATGTAATCTAATGTAATGTAATTATCTGTGTAAGAAAATCTCAAAATGGGATCCTGATTGTACTATACCACGTGTTTCTGTTATTTGATATACATACATAAAGTAACCTCATTTCAGATACACTTGTTAAAACTTTTATGACTTAAGCGGCTTAAGCCAAACCACCCTTATAAGTCAAACTGGCTATTGTATTACTTAACTCAGTTCACAACTACATTATGCCAACAATGGACAGTAATAATCTTGCGGTTCGGGTCCAGAAAGCTTACAATAGCCAGTTTGACTTATAAAGGTGATTTGGCTTAAGCCGTTTAAGTCATAAAAGTTTTAACAGGTGTATGTCAAATGAGGTTACAGAATACATATATGTATGTACATATTTCTTCATAGTTTAAATAAAAAAAATGTGCCCATAAAAAATCGCAAAAAAATATATTCTGAGATATAAACCTGATGTTACACAGAGAAAATGCACAAAAAAATGTTTTAAATTTTAAATATTACCGCCCATTTTTTTGTTAATTTTTCACATAATTAATTCCATCACATCCAGTGGCCTATAATTTTGAAAAATTCTAAAATGTAAATTTTAAGGCAATTATGCTAAATATTTTCAATTTTGCCCGTTTATATAAAATCGTTTAGATGAAACAAACTACACTCAGAAAGGAAGTAACAACACAACACAACACAAGTTGCTACTGGTATATTAGTATATAGATAAAAAAAAAACGAAAAATTGTCTCGTGGCACATGCTACCGACTTAAATCCATTTTTACACCAATTCCTGACCTACCCAAATTGGTAGTAATCTTTCAAACTGAATGAGGATGATGCAATTCAAAAACGAATTAACTAATGCTCCTATCTTTTTGGCAATACCCAGCCCACATTCTTGTCACGAATGAACCTCATACATATTAGTAGGTGATTAGATTACATGAATCAACGTTGTTAGTTAGTGCTTCTCCACGAAAACTTCAACTACTACAGTTAAAGGGCAGTGTTAAATTATTAGTAACCGAAACAAGAAAAAAAAAAATTACCGCAAATCCGTATCCTCGATAGCGTCGTATAGCAGCGAAGCCAGATAAATTTCGTACTTGTTCTTGCCTCTGTATATGCTCATTTTCACATAACCCACCACAAAAAAGAAAATTGTCTTCAAAAAAAAAAGTCTCTTCTAAATTAGAAAGTGGACGATCTCCAGTAAGAAGTCTGTCAGCAGCACTGTCACCACTAAAACTCAAATTAGATCTGCCGGATAGTGTCCGTGTTGTTGAATTTATTGAGAAAATTGTCCCAATCGAAGCGATAAAGCTCGTCTTGGCAGTGTGTAAAACGTAAACATTTTTTGTAGGTTAGTTACATTTAAACTTGAAGTTTCGGTGCGGCGCATGCGCAGTGGGAGGAGCTATAGTTTCAGGGCCGTCTGCAGGACAATAAAAGTAATAAAATAACTAATAAATATAGATATCGAAGGGTCATCGATCACCGGATATGCGAATAAGACAGAAAAAGTGTAAATATTTTGGTGGATTTGTTCAGTTTCCAGTTCTATATTTGGCGGATTTGTTTTGTTGCGGTTTAAATTTAGAAAAATTGTACACAAAAATAAAGTCATAAATGGTTTAATTGTTAATTAGTTTGTTATTTGGTGGACAGACGTGCGTAAATTGTGTTATTTAATAGTATTAGAAAAACAATCGTGTGGGAAAATTTTAATTATTGCCGTATTATTACATAAACCCAAATTTCTGTTGAGTGGAAATAAATAGTACTTGTATGTATTTATTAATATATATCATTGAAACCCCATAAACTTTATTTCTTAAAATAACATGATATTATCTATAACAAAACGGAAGTACATTTTTATTGACCAGATTTTATCTTATGCTTATATTTTAATCAATACTTTTATTATAAAATACACAAATTTTAGGCCTGACTTTATTGTATGAAGAAAATACTTCTATATTTTATTAATAAAAGTGGTTTTTCAACATTTTTCAAAGTCGATTTGAACTTAAAAATAATTTATTCATGTTTTATTGTTTACCAGCGACCTTAGCTCCTTGCACACACAATTTAGATCCAATTCTAGTAAAAGCATTAAAAATTATCAATCACTTTAGAGGTTTTAATAACACATCATAAATTGCATAATTAATTGCTTCGAAAAATAATTTATTAAAGAAAACATGTTTTCAATGTCGGACGGCGGACGCGATATCGTAAACTACTACAAAGTGAACAAATTTTATTAACTAATTCTGTGGAAAATTTAAATTCTGTTATCCATAGGAAAAAATCGAGTTTTTTAATCATTTTTTTTTATTACAAATGATTTATGATTTTATCAAACTATTAAAATGTATTTGGTTACGCCTAAGTTGCTTTTTGGTCGGGTTATCACTTTAAGTCCGTATCTGTCGAACATTTAAATTGTTTTAATAATTAATACAGCAATTAACGCTTTAAAAAAATGAAATAAAAAATTACAACTACGCAGCATTTTTATTGGACTTCTCTTAGTTTAAAATAAATTAAAAAAATTGTCATCAGTAGTGGTATAAATAATTCACAAGGAAAAAAATACGTCGACAATGGGTGCTGTGCAGATTTTTTAAATTTTCTTCCAAAAACATGTCATATTGTAAAAATTAACACCTCCTTCGAGTCAAATCATTTTCAATTTTGTTTTAAAAATACTGATAATAAGCAGACTTAAAAATATTCGTAAATTTTATTCGAATCAGATGGTTATATATATATAAAAAATAGATTTAATTCATATTGTAGTGTTACAGATCAAATAATGTCAAGGATTTTTTGAGCTTATGTACGATAAGAATGATACGCTGCGAGTGACTTGGAACACAGAGACTTCATAATACTTAGAATATTTAATTAAGTACGTAAGTTTGTTACATCAAACGAACGAGTTGAATACATTACGTGAAATATACACTATTACTACATCAACATCCACAAATCGGAAAAGCCATTGACGAGTCTTTACATAATTTGTTTTGCATTTTTAGTTTGAAATGGAAGTGTCTTCATTATTTTTTATTAATTATAAATGTTTAAAAATTCACTACTGGTCGAAACCAAATTATTTATTAAACATCATACCGGAAAATGTAGTAAATGTTTTTATATTTATCATGGTTTGGACAATTCTGAAGTGTATCTGAAATGTTTTGTTTTTTTTTTTTTAATGTCGCCGACGCATTATTTCCGCCGAAATTATCGTAATTGTTTTTATAGTTATTTGTATTTTTATATTATACTGTAAGTCTTAAGAATGAAAAATATTGTTATAGTGTAAATATTATGTAGACTATAAAAATTTTTACGCAACGCGAGCAGATTAACAAGCATAGTGCAAATTAATAAAAATTCCATAACGTAAAATAACATTTTAATATGAAAATTATCTGAAATATAGCTATTTTTGCAATTAGTGGACACGGAGAGGAAATTTTGAACAAAGTCCAATATTTTTTTTAGACGTAATAAATAAAATGAAGATACAACGTAAATTTTCAATACATTACATACAATTTTTTTTCTAAAATTATGTGTAGGTACACGAAGAGTGATAAACTTTTCTTATGTTCAATAAACATTTTACAAGGTGTAAAAGTGACATCATGACGTGAGGTTGTATATTCTGTTTTAAAATAGGGCTACAAATGAAGTAAACATTAAAAAAATATATCGATGACATAATTGATGTAAGTGTCAATTAAAAAATTTAGAATTCATTCGTAAAACAATTCTTGTGGAAAGTGATGCCATAAAACGTTCGAGTATTTTTGTTAAACTGCACTGATCATTGAACTTCCATCACTTTGAAATATCTAAAGACTCAATTTCTTGTTTTATTAATCCTAAATGATTCCAAAAATTTGAAAAAACTCCAAATTGAAATTGCATTTATATGTATTGTTGTAAATATAGTAAACGTCATTGAAGAAACAGTACGTTACTAGTAATTTCAACCTATAAGAAAATCCGTTTTAATAGTATAAAAATAAAAATGTTTACGTTGTATTTGTCAGTTAATATTTTATTGGTGACATTTTTTTCATTCTTTTACTCTTAGTTAGATAAAGCTTAGCGTATATACTGTCCGTGTCTTATCGTCTTCTATGTATAATGTTCACTACAAATCTGTAAAATTACTTATGCTGAACTTTCTTCGTCTTTGCAATGCAAGCATAATAACACGTCTTGCATGGCAGGGCATAGGTTACAATAAAGAATTGATTAATATTTTTTTACAACTACATTGCTTCATGAATATATTTTTAATATATTCTTTATTCTATTTTAGAATCGTAATCTTGTTTATAAGCACCCAAATGCGGGCGTAAGTTGGCTTTTATCGCACAAATCTGTCAAAAATTGCTGATTGTTCATTTACACTAATCAATTAATTATTCAAACACGCTTCGATATTCAACGTTTTTTTTTAAGTTGGAAAAATAATATTTTATCAAATCATTACCTGACCGACTTCAAATTCTTCTAAACTTTCTTTTGATTCTGTATTTATTTAAAAATTAATTTTTCTTTAAAGTTTTTTGACGTTCATCACATTTGCACTGAACTCGTATCTAAGGTGATTCATCAACAGTTTTGTTCGTAAAAAAATGTTTCAAAATGAGTTCTCGTTTTGGGCAAAATTCTGGGCAAGTGATAGACGCCGCAGTAAATAAACTAACTCCAGTGAATACAAAAAAGTCCTGAGATTCTGCATGGAAACAGTTTCAATAATTTTGCGATGAAAGAAAATATACTCTGAACAATAAGGAAACTACCGTATCCGAATTGGTTCTAATTCTAAAAGATTTCGCTTTCAACATGAGGCGCAATGATGGAGAAGAGTATAAGGAAGGTGTTGTGAAGACTCTTTGGAATATTTAAGGTATTTCATATAAAGCATTATTTCAAAAAATATATCATAATTTTACAGGCTTTTCAAATTGTTGAAACAAAAAAGGGGAAAACATATTACGGTCGAACGCCTTTTCTTAATTGTAAACTCATCATGGATGAAAGAAAAATCAAAACGTTTTTTCAAAAATTGTCCATTAGGAAGAAATCAAATTTCGAAGTGGACAAGACAGGCAGCAGAAGCTATAGGAATGGACGCGAAAAGAATAATAAGTGATGAAAGCAGCATGAAAAGCCCATCATCATTAGTATCCAGTAAAATTTTATATTCAAATTGTAGTTTCTATACTTGTTCTTTTTCTTAAAATAAAAATTTAAAACTAAATTATCGATAAATGCACTAATTAAATCGCTGTAATTTAATCGTTATTGGATAAAAATAAAATATTTCAGTTTTTCGATTGGCTTAAATTTTTCGAAGGAAACAGTCTCCCTTATATTGTTGGTGGCCTACATAAAAATAATTTGAAATCATTAGCAACAAAACAAAAAAAAAGGACTTTGTAACGTTATCTGTACAAATGTGATCTAGAACTGTATTAGATTTTTTTTCTTATGTCCATTGCGGTGATTCTAATATGAATGAGTTTTCGCGTCAACATAACACAACCTTGCAGCCTTCTTTACGTTAGAATAAAGTTTCGATTCCATACTTTTTCTGTCCTATTTGTTTTCTTCTTGATATGATATCATTTATTCGACACATTTTCCCTTCGTCTTTTACGTCCATTGTTTTATCAATCAGCTCTTTTCTTTCTCCTCAGATATTTAGATTTTTGGAAAAAAAAAACAAAATTGTGTATATTTACAATTTACGATTTAACTTAGAAACTAAAATCCGACAGCCCCAAAGTCGTTTGATCATTAATAAAAATTTATTTTCGTTATTCCCGCCAAAAATTTGGCAACGTCATCTCAAAATTTTACCAGATAAATACTGTTTAAAATGTAAATATTATGTGTCTACACTTGTAGTTTATTAATTATACGCATATATTGGTTAGAATTGTTTATATGCACATGATGTTTGATAAGTTAAGAAATAAAAACAACGCCACGCATTTGAAGAAATAAAAAAATTATTCCAGTAAAATTGTTTTGTTTGTGAGAATAGTGAAAAAAAAATCATACTTCGGTTGATAGCTCTAGGAAGTGAACTTTAGCGAATTCGTCAACACGAATTATTGTTTGTAAATTCAGTTCATGTTAAGATTCTTAACTGTTGATGATTGTAATTCAATTTAACTACAGCAAAGTAAACGTTCATATATGTAAAACACGTCGCGAAAATTTTGGCTTAACCCAGTTCAAAATTTTGGATGTTTTCAGTTAAATTCTTACATTATCCACACTTCATAATTTTTCACTTGAGATTTGTAATAATTCATTCGTGACATTTAAACTATAATCTGAAGCATCGATTCATTTTGAAAGGACCTTGGAAAATTATTATCTGTTAAATTAATGTCATCGCGGACTCAAAATAGGAAGGAATATTTTCTGCAGGTTTAATAATTTCTTACAGCATGCATTTGAACATTTATTGTCGAGTTATTAAACTGTAAAAAACGCACGAGAATGTGTTTGTCATTGTTCATGTGAATATTTATTTGCAATACCAGATTTTTGCCGCCAGTGAAAAAATGTTGAATTTTTCGCCGGTTTTATGCACATGTCTACATTTGGCAGGATATTTGGATTAACACTATTGAATGAAGCAGTTTATTATATTTTATTGAATAAATAAAAATCAGTTCATCACATTTCCCTGAAATTCTGGAATTACAATACTATTATGAACTTTCTTTGTTCAAATTATTATACCTATTTATCGCTATCAGAAAATTAATGACGTCATCACATAATTTATAATTTTATTATGAAAAACTGAAATTCGCAAATTCATTTTTATAATTTCTCTAAAAAATTTGATCGGCTTGGATAGTGCTTTCGGTGCGAGGGAAGTTCTGTCTAAACAACTTTAGGGCATTTTTTATTACAAAAAATTTATGGTCCCAAATTATGAGATCATTAAAACCTTGTAACGAACTGAGCTACAAATGCAAAGCGTCTAGAATAAATAAGATAAATTTGTAGTTTTATCGCTAACTGATAGTCCGCAGCGTTTCACTCTCACTATGCAAGAGTTCGTAAGTCTGTAGTATTTTCTGGTCATTACCAGTATCGCACAACCAAAATACTCTAAAAAAAGTGATAATAATAGTTATTCTTAGCATGCTTTATTTTAACAATGTTATTGCAGTATTCTCGGCGCCATTGTATTTTTCTTGATTCTTATCGCGCACAAAAGAATAGTTTCTTGGAAACTGGTCACGACGATAAATGTGGACTTAATCTTCACTTTCAAAAGGGAGCAAGTGCAACAAAATGTTAAAATAGATAAAAACTTTTTTAATCAAAATAAAATCAACAAAATAAATGTATTTCTCGAAAATGCGATTAAAATTATTGTGATTCCAGCTTTTTAACACCTGGAACCCACACAGGCGCAGCCACAGCACCCATATTAACGCGTTCCACAGTGATGAACTCATCATCCACATTTTCCGCGTTGTAAAATTTACAGAGATCTTCAATAGCTTTGTCTTCAATCTGAAAATAAGATTCAGCAGATCGGCGAAGACAAAAAATGTGTAGCAATACCTGCGTATAAATTAACAATTTACTTTTAATCTTAACTAGATTCTCTTTCTGTTTCTTCTCAGAAGAAATAATATCACTCATACTGGTTTCCAGAGATGTAGGACTGCCAATTTCGCTGACAATCTTCCAAGGATTTTTAGGACTTTCTGTAATAAGAATTAGTTGTGCTAGTAACTTGCTACAAAGAATATCTAATACCTGGTGTTGGCACTTCCGTCGCACTTTCCGAAGACAACCTCTTCCTCTGTTTTTGAGATATCTTCACCATCCTGTGTTTGGTTTCGTATTTGTGAGGCGATCTCAAGGGATAAGAAGTCGGTGGACTATTTAGCAAAGGGAATTCCTCAAAGGATGTCCCTAAAATATCAGCATCCACACTACTCTTTGAAACCAACTTGGTAAACTGTGGTTGATAATCTTCACTCTCTATCTTCTCCTCAGCTAGTTTTATCGCTCTCAATCTACTTGGCACTACTTGGTCAATATTACAACTTACATCTGGTGGCGAATCAGGAAACTGAATAATATTCTCATCACAGACGTTTTCTTTGAAAGATTTCTGACTAGAATCTACACTGGTTTTGTGATTTCTGGACCTCCTCTTCTGGCTACTTTTTTGTACAACTTTCTCCACTTCTTCTAAAAGCGACACAGGATAAGTGCTGCTAACAGAAATAATCTCTTCTTCTAGGGGTGCAGTGGAGTACGGTGTTATGACACGGCAGCAAATTTTTTCTTTGTCTTCGAAATAAAAATCGCTTAATTCTTTTAGTAAAGCTTCATCAATATCATCAAAGAGGCGTACCTCAAGAAGTGGGGCTATATTTGAAACGATGAATTTCAAGCAGCAATACTTTAATTTTTGGGCGTTATATAAGTTGGCGAAAGTTAGGAATTGCACGCAGTTTTTCAACGTTAAACAGTGAAATAGAAGATATTCGCACTGTTCTTTCAGTCTTGTAATGAATAATTGATCGGCTAATATTATTAGTTTGAATAGGTGGTCTTGTTCTTTGTTGTTTAAGTAGGAAAGGGTATCAGTGTAGAGATATTCTAGTAGAGCTTCTACAATACTTCTTGAACACGGCAGTGTTATTGTTCTAGTTTCAGTCTGCAACAAGTAAGCGGTTTAAGCTATTGCATAGTAGTAAAAGTACCTCGCTTTTGTATGACTGTTAAATACACAAATATCTTTGAAAACACTGAAGTATGCTTGATTTGTCACAGAAGCTACGAAAAATGTCTTATTATTATTTTGGAGATAATAACGTCTTTAAATTTTTATTTAATTTATGTTATATGAAAGCAAAAAAAAATGAACACTACTTTTGACTTCTGGTCTTTTGGGTTGTTTTTGTCTCTTAAAACCCTAATTTTTTAGGTTTATACCATGTGTATTACGAGTTTCAAATACATAACTGGTATAAATTTACCACTTTATATGTTCGTATTTTTTTCAGAACTATGAAGTTTGTAATACGACTTTGAACATTTTGTCCTGTTGTGTATTTTTTAAAGTCATAGTTCATACATGAAGACAAGTACACAACTAACTGAGTCGATGTCCGCATTTAATAATTACTGCGTTGGGAATTCCAAGGGTCAAACATATGTACGTGTTTCAGTTAGTTATCTTTTTCGTTCCCGTATTTTATTTTTTATGCGGGGTTTTATCTCAGGTTCTTATATATTTATGTATAGATAATGGTAACATTTCATAGAACACAGCCGGTTTAGAACAATTAAAATTAACAATTTTTTAGTGAAAAGGCGTGACCATCAGACTGAAGTGGTTCTGTCAATTACGTTTCACGGAGATTTTGGGCATAAACAGTGCGCTAAACTGATCAGGAACATTTGCCATATTTTTCCAAGAAAGACACAAACCCTTCTAGCTATCAGTATTTTTAAAGCACCTCGAATTTTAAAATTACAAATAGATGTATCTATGAATTTTATTAAATACTTAATGTTAGAAAAAAAAAAAAAACTTACCCCGTGCCACCTTGTAGAAAACAAATTATTAAAATAATCACTCTGTGCGGCTAAAATACATTTGTGTGCCTTAACTTCTTTCCCATCAGCACATTTGATAGTAACATCACAGAATTCGCTCAAAGCCACTTTGTCAAACTGCAAAGGCTTCAAATTAACTTCCTTTTTCGTCTTCTTCCTAATAACAAACTTCTGCATCTCGTAATTGCTCAAAATTGCACACAACTCTGCACACCCAACCTTCTTAGCCATTTCATGCAACATCCTAACGGGATTTTTGATTTTGCTTGGCTTACTTTCTTGTTTTTGGTTCTTCAACTTATTACTATTATAAACTTCAAAAGCGGAGAGTTTACCATCCACTTGTACGTTTACTTCACTGTCATCATTCTCTTTCTGTTTCTCACATAAATTTTTAAATCTGTCTTCGCACTCACCGCATCTTAATAAATCACAGTCACCACTATACACATAGGTAAGGAATTGCTCAAAAATAATAGGGTTGTACCCATCAAGTGCTACCAAGCTATCACCATCAATCAAAAGTTTCTCAAAGTAGGTACTTTTGGAAGCCATTATGTAGCGATGTGCTGGGAAGTAACGATGATCTACTTGAAACACTACATCATGAAGATCATCATTCTCGTGACATTCTTGTAGCAGTCTAGTGAGATTTTCCTTCATTTCTGACTCTATGATCTGTGGAGCGTCGAATCTCTTGTATGGAGGTACTTGAATGACGCAATAATCATGCCCTTTGGCGTCACTGGTAATCATCACAGCTCGATGTATTCTAGGGAACTTTGACAGTTTCACAGATATGCAGTCTTCACGGTCTAAAAACTTGTGAAAAGCACTTTTTTCGTTGTTATTTGTGACCGTTTTCTTCTTTCGGGGTTTAATGAAACCCTGGAATGCTTCACCGTCTCTTGTCACAAACAACAAGCCGCTATTGTTGATGCGGACTTGGTTAACAATGACTGGTCTGTTTAAGGAATAAATGCATCTGCATAGTTGTGAATCGGATTCTTGCCACAAAAGCAAATTGCCCGTGTTTGTGAGAGCTACCACTTTTAACTCTCTGTTGAGTTCCGCTGATAATTCTTTACTGAGTGAAGTATTAAGTTTGCCTCCAAAAATACTGACTTGTATCACATTTAATTGTCTGCAAAAATAAATAAATAGTTTTTTTTTGTACTATTATTAACTAGTAATAATTAATGAAATAATTGAAATGAATACCAAAATGATGGTCGTAGATACAATAGTGTACAACCTGGGTGGAATGGCTCACTTCGCGCTTGCGTTTCATACTGACAGGAAATGAGAGCCGTTCCACTCTGGTTGTAGTTATTTTGCGTACCTAGATGCGATTTTGCGGCACTGGTACTCGTGCAACACATAGATGTCGCCCTTTTTTGTATATATAGACATAGCACCATCACTCGAATCTAACGCTACAATTTCAGTTTCAGAAAAGTTGAGAAGTCTCACAGCCTTTGGTGTTGTAACGTATTTGTCATCGGTTCGCATTTTGTGACCTATCTGACCAGCGTTTAAGCCCCAAGTGTACAAACATTTAGGGCCCCACGCTACAGAATGGTAAGGACTTGCACAAACATATTTTACTTCTTCAGATAAATGCTTGAGTTGAGTAGGAACTAGTACTTGTTGTGGAGGAGGGCTTAGTCCTAGTACTCTATGAGTGTTTAATCCGCACGAATATAGCTGTAACAAAACAAAAATTGGAGTCAAATTTGTTTTTTTTTTAATGCGAATTTGCCGTTTTACTGAGATAAGTAGTAAAACATTTTTCAGCGTACCTTTATTTACTATTTTTACACGGAGCAACAGATTTGTCTTTAATATAATTTTCACCGTCTCAGTTGTTTCAATTGTCAATTTGAAAGTTTGAGTAGAAAATGCAACGATCAAAGACAAATTGTCCAAAATCCATGGCTGTCTTTGATAGTGTTTTTACTGCTCTCTTGGTGTAAAATGTAGGGGTAGTAAACAAGAGTTCATAAAAAAAGTACATACGATATCGTGATTTGTCAAAATACTGAAAGACTATTATTTATACAGGAAGACAGTAGATATAACAAATCTAAAAATAAACACGTGTATTTTTTGATAATGGTGAAACAATCGTAACTATAGAAAGATTTTTACTTTTTGAGCGTAATAGTCCATTTACATGGCAGTTTCGAGCTTGTTGAAAAGAAATTTACTCAGATATTTAATGATGTAACCTAAACCTACTATAAAATTGGTATTATTCCAAGGAAACAATAATAAAAAAAAATCTGTAGATACTCACATTGCCATCAGAACACAAAAATATACTGTGGTCCCTCGCAATAGCAGCATCAATACACATCACAGATTCCCCATGACTAGTATCAGGAAAATGAACCATTTCAGGTATCACGACAGTCTGTTGGGTGCCCAGACCCAATCTACCCCCTTGCCCATGCCCACAACTGTACACTCTACCAGCAGAAGTAACAATTAAACTATGAAACTTCTCTACCCCAACCTTGCAAATCAATTCTTCAGGATATTTTTTATGGAAAACATCAAGCAGCTCTGGAGTGGAACGAGATTGTTGTGGTCCTAGAGAATTATTACAGTTCGAACCCCAAACATACAGTTCCCCTGAATTAGCAGATTCTGGTACAAAACCATCCATCATAGCGTGGTCTAACATCGTCAAGCTATTAGCGTCCAACAAACTAGTATTGGCCCCTATAAAAAATAAAACAAAAATAATATTAAGTGCAATAAACAGAGCGCGTGAGGATTACCCAATTTGATAAGTTCAACAGCAACGTCAATCTTCCCATAAAAAATGCTTCTATGTAAGGCTGTAAATCCTGACTCGTCGTCCTTAGCATTAATGTTGGAGTGGCGATTTTGTACTAGCCAGCGAACTAGGTCAATTCGGCCACAAGAAGCCGCGACATGGAGAGCAGTTCTTCCCACGGAGTCTTTCACAGTTTCGCAACAGGTACAAATGTAGCTGAGGTACGAACATAGGTCATTATCGGAGACGCTACGTCTAGAGATTGCGGCTGTGATGATGTCCCCATGCTGAGTCGATCTGCAGCGGTCAGTACAGCTGGCCGTTTCATCTTGACCCATGTTTGTTCGAGCTGCCATTGCATAATTGTAGAATTAGGGAGTGTTTACCAAAATTTTTTTCTAATTTTAGTTGATGTTATTAGTATACATATGTTTACATGCTCAAGGTTATTGTATAATGTTGTGAAACTGGATATTACATAAGAGTAAGTAATGACGTTGACATTTTGCGTATGGTGTCGATTTTTCAGTGAAAAATGCGGTATTTACCTGCTGGTTGCCCGTCAAATGCAATAAATGCATAAATTTTTTAAATCGCCAATTTTTAATTTTGACAAATATAGCATTGACAATGACAACTACACAAGTGTCAAAATGATGACGTTTCTGTGCTGCCCTCTTTTGAGGCTCATATATCATCATTACATCATTGTTACAGAATTTTATATCGGGTAGCATTTCTGTAATTTTAATGCTAAAAGGGTTGCCTATGCGTTCGGGTGAACATGAGATTCTTTTAATTTTTAGGAACTTCCTGAAAATTTGTGGCGGCTTATCAGCGATTAACTTCCCTCATCCCCGTAACTGCGAAATAATAATGTTATACATGTAGATAGTGGAAGAGCATTAATATTTTATGTGAGCCTTTATAAAAAAAAAATAGGGCCAGCATTATTAATTAATAATAATAATTATTTATGTAAATTGTTAACTCGTGTGCATCGTAACCTTGGTAACCTTATTTATGCTTGCTGATAGTGATAACCTGATAACTGTGGTGTAACTTATGTCACTATAATTTTTTATTTACCTGATAATGTAATTTAAAGTTGTTTTTTCACTAGCAGCCATCAAGCATGCAAATGTCGACTCATTTAGAGGTAGCAAATTCAACTTTTGCGACCACCGGTTCAAAAAGAAAAATTGAGGTTATGTACGCAATGTTTGATGTGATTATTTCTTAAAAAATGAACAAATGTGTGCTACAAACATTACTTGAGTATACGCATGGTAGTTGGTAGACGGTAGAAGATAAAATGATTAACTCAGCGACAAGAATAAACGGTTTTCTTTGTGTTGAAGATTTAGATTAAGTTTGATTAGAAATCAAAACAAAATCATGTTGCGTCAAAAAATTGAACGTTTATTTTTCAGTTTGTCTTATGGTTTCTACTAGTGAAAAAAATAGTATATTAACCACGGTTGCAAAGCCACTTCTAGACCTCGCACTTAGAGCCCTCGACGCTGCGCGTCTCGGGTTCTAATTTGCTCTCGGTCTAGAATGCTTGGCTCTGCAACCTTGGCTAATAATATACTATTTGTATAGTCCTTTATTGTGAAGCTGTTTTTTCAATGCTGAACTCCATTCTAACAGTTGCCTATTTATGTTATTTTTATTATTATCTTCCAGGTTGTCCGTGACCGTTCATCAATATTAAGGATGCGCTTTCCGTTTCCACATTCCTCCTATCCAGACGCAGACGCTACAAGTACCTCCACTGGGGGTCATGAACACCACAGACGTGGCAAAAAGGGCGGGTAATATATTTTGGCAAATATTGGTACCGCTAACATGGTCTTTTCTAACGTTTACGATGATTCTAACTTTATGATTTCTATTGTAAAACTGATTTAAATTACGAGTACATTGATATAACATTATTATGTACTGGTAGAAATAAATATGTCCAAGCTTCAAAAAAGTGTAATTATTCTATAATTTACCCGTTTCGTGCGGACATTAAAACAGACTTCAGTATAAATAACGGTATTCAGCTCACCCTTTTTATCTTTAGGTAATATTATTTTGTTCATAATGTCGGCATACCGTCTTAGCCCACATTTTCCAGTACGTACACATTCTGCGTATCTACGTAAAACACCTCTGAATTTCTTCGTGTTAGGCCAACACTTGATGTCATCTTCATTTGCTACTTGTACTGAGGCTAGGAGTATAACTGGTTGTTAATTTTTTATGCTTAAGAAAAAGTAGGGAACAGGGTATCGTTTCCCAAAACTGTTTTTTTTTATTTTTATTAATGGTAATTTGTACATGTGAGAGAGCAGTAAAAAACACGATCAAAGACAACCGTGGATTTTTGAAAGTGCGTCTTTAATTGTTGCAGTTTCAACTCAAACTTTTAAATTGACCGTAATTTGACAAAACTAAAATTCTATTAAAGACAAATCTTCAAAAATCATCGCATTACAAAATTTTCAAAATTTTGGGATTACAAAATATACTTTGTACTTGCACATGTTTTACTTCGTCAGCCATATGAAAAATTCTTTTTGCAAGTATTACCGTATGTTTTGAACAAAGATAGAGGTAATGCATTTTGTTGTAGCTTGCCAAGAAAATACGCACGTGATGGAAAATACAGTTTTATTATTATTATTACATGAACATTAATTACAAAATATAGTTTTCCAATTCTTTCATTTGTGAAATAATATTAACTTTACATAAAAAAGGAATCCATCAGTTATAGCTCTGGTATAAACAGAGAGGACAGGACTGACTGTAAACGGAAACGAAATGAACCTTAGGGTCTGGACATACAAGTATAGGTATTTTAGGAACTCTCAACTGTGAAAGCAAGGTTAAAGGAGAAGCTGGTGCGCAAAGCAGATGAAAATTCATCTATCGGAGTAGCATACCATGTCTTCTTGTACCATGGTACAGTCTATGGAAAAATGTTGAGGTTAATAGAATAAGTAACAAGTCTCCCCCTTTACGGTCGCAACAGAATAACGAACTTCTTGCAAAAGTTTATAAATCCAGCTAGTCATCATAAAACTATGGGTCAAGTAACCACTTTTAAGAACTCCGCTATGGAGCAATTAGAGTTTCAAAGGTGGGGTTGCTAGTATTATTTCTGAAGAGACTATACATACGTTATGGACAGTGTGACGGGCTTGGGAGATTTTCAAAATTAACTTTTGTTAATTTATTATATATAAAATTGTAAAACTCTTGTCGTGGACCTTGTGCCCGACATATAGTGAAAATATTATTTATTTGTTCGTAGGCTGGTTCGTGATGATGGTAACACATTCTAGTGACTGGACAAAGGGACTACTTCAAGTATATGCATTTTGCTTAAATGAATAATTATATTTAATTTAGAAATGAGTATGTACAAAAGAGATTTAGTCATATGAGAATAATTTGGTATAACAAAATTGTAGTGTAGTTTAATATGCAAATATTAAAGTACAATGAACTTTAGTATTAAAACGTTTTTAAATAAGTTCAAGAAAACCTTATAACTTTGAAACTAAATCTTTGAAAGCATAATAAAACAAACATTTAAAAAAATCTAAAACAAAAATATAACAAAACTTAAAATTGGTACCATAACTCAAAATTTGGTAAGGAACATTATAGTAGTTGCGTGGTCAGCGTTCATCAAACAATATAACTGTTTAACTAATAATTTCAATGCAAATTAATCTTTAAAAATAGATCTAAATCTCAAAACGTTATCCAATCGAGAATACAAAGGGCGATTTATCATAAAATTTAAACTGAACTTTAAAAATATTAATAAAAACAAAACTTTGAACTTTTTATGAAATCGTGCACATTGTTGGAGATTTTAACACTTACCCCTTTGTGTCACAACACAAACACACTAAACAGGCAACTGGCTAGAGGACTCTGGTCTTTTTTGGATCTTTCGATCTTTTATAAGTAAAGACCCCTCCAAAGGAGTTGTTTTCGCAAAAATTGTTTACAAGTTACCAGTTTATTTGGGGTGTCGTAAAAGTATTTGTGTTTCCACCAAAGTAGGCTTAATTAACTGTAATATGAAGATTTTTAGTGGCTAAATGTGCTTTTTGTTAAAACTAACAAATTTAAACCATGAAATTATAAAACTGGACAAAGACATCGTGTCCAGCCAAACGGCGCCAATATTTAACTGTGAAATTATAAACCTTGATTAGAATGGTGTGAAATCATAAAATCCAAGTTTCACAAGGACAACCTTGATTTTTACGACAATGACGATTGTTCTGATTCATACCAACATCTCCAAAAATAAGTAAATTTATCGCCCGCTACAACAGTATTGCCGAGGCTTTTCCGAAATACATAGTTTACGTAAAGAATCGAAGGTATGTTAACAGAGTTTTAAATACCTATTAATTTTTAAGTGGACATAGTAAATTAATAAGTATTATAAAGAAATGACTAGTGATCCTTTAGGTAAAAAGAATTGGAGACAAATTATGGAAAAGAGAGGTTGTAATAGCACACTTTCAAACTTTTAAAAAGTTTGAAAATTTCACATTACTGACCGATTGTGAACAAAATTTTTCTATTTGGAAAGACAAGGTACCAGAATTTTCGCTTAAGAAAAATTGTCTTTGGAAAAAGATCGGAAGAATTTCGAATGAATCACATAACTCAAGAAATGGACAATGTTTGTCAAAGGTTTTAGAATATAAGACATCATGATCATCATGATTAAGATATTCAGAAGATTCAAGTATTAAAAGTCGCATTATAGAAGAATTTTATTTGAGGATAAAAATATTTGATGGAAGTAGAAGATTTTCGAAAAAACCGAAACTCACATTTCGAAAGAGTTATGGAGAATTGAAGAAATTGTGTGTCAACAGAGTTGTCATGGTTCAGAATTGTAATAACAAAGTTTTAAGTAAGTATTAGTGTGAAAATAGTAAATTAGGCATTATAAAAGCAGGATTTGTGAGGATTTGACACAAAACAAGTGATGACGAACTAAAGAAAGAAGAGGTTTAGAATTAGGAAAAAAAATCTAAGGTTATTTAGATAGAACTTTCCTTGCAAGGAAGACTATATCAGTTTGGGTCGGTATATATGTAATATTAATAATAACAGTATTGAATTCCCAAATTTTATGGAAAATAGGGTGATTTAATCGATAAAATAAATTGCCTTTTTTGGTGCTTTGAGGATCTGAGGATTTTGCTCTTTTTCTTTTTACTTCCCGAGCGTAAGCAAAGGAAGTATTGTAATCGAGTCCGTCGGCCGACTCTCTACTTTTACGTTTTCTCGATCTTTCATGACCCCTAGAAGACGAAGAAATAGGTCTCCCATTTCCGTCTGTCTGTCCGTCTGTCCGTCTGTCCGTCTGTCCGTCCGTCTGTCCGTCTGTCCGTCTGTCCGTCTGTCCGTCTGTCCGTCTGTCCGTCTGTTGTCACGGATTTTTATTAGACAGATAATCTCCGAAAGTACTCGACCGATTGTTGTGAAATTTTGTACTTATATTAAGAATATCATGTAGATGGTAAAACGCTAACCAAAATTTGTCGAATCATCCCCACCACTAAAGCGATGACGTCACTTCAAAATTGTACATAGTAAATGGGTTTTCAATTGTAT